GTCCTCGGTCTCTGAGTTAATAGCTGCTTGTGAAGCCCTCCAGAGGGTGTTTATATGTGCAGCCTGGCACTGTGTGGGCTCACGATGCTGGCCCGTGAGCACACAGACAGGAGGAGGAAGGCAATGCCTGGAGCACCAGGAATGCTTCAGGGAGGGGATGGAGGGCGGACACGGGGCAGGCCCTGGAATGGGGAAGTGCTGCTCTAGGGGAGGCTGAGCCTGGGCCAGGAAAGGGCTTGGTCTGAGGTGAAAATCTGGCCAGCTCATTGGGAGGGGCTAGAGGTGGGCTAAAGGTGACAGCAGGCTCTCAGTGGTCTTTTCCAAAGAAAATTGGACTCTGTGATGGGCCTAGAAGCCACCAGCTTTTTCAAAACTTCACCCAAGGAGAGAAAGAAAGAAAGAAAGAAAGAAAGAAAGAAAAAGAAAGAAAGAAAGAAAGAAAGAAAGAAAGAAAGAAAGAAAGAAAGAGAGAAAGAAAGAGAGAAAGAAAGAGAGAAAGAAAGAGAGAAAGAAAGAGAGAAAGAAAGAGAGAAAGAAAGCTGGGTCTGGAGAAAAGGGCAGTGGAGAGGTGTGGCCTGTGTGGCAGGAGGCTACTGGGAAGGCAGGCGGGTGCTTAGCTGTCTCTGTGTCCCTTGTTCCCTGTTCTAACCCAATGTTTGAAACTCCTGGGAACCTTTAAACTAGTGGTTCTCAACCTTTCTAATGCCACGACCCTTTAATACAGTTCCTCTTGTTGTGGTGACCCCCAATTTCATTGTTACAAATTGAACATAATTAAAGCATAGTGATTAATCACAGAAACAATATGTAATTATATATGTGTTTTCCGATGGTCTCAGGCGTCCCCTGTGAAAGGGTTGTTTGACCCCCAAAGGGGTCGCGACCCACAGGTTGAGAACCACTGCTTTAAACAGAAAGATGGCAGGGTAGGGGGATGGGGAGGAGAGTCTGAGTGCAGGTGCAAGCACACCCACAGACATAGATACAAAAGTGCTGCCCCAGACACTCCTTCCCCCTGGACCTAGACTCCCACGTGTGTAAGAATGTCAGACATGCACAAAGCATATGTCTAGACTCTAGAGTGTGCATGCAGAGAAGCCCCATGGAAGTGAACAGACATCCACAAAGTGTCCCAAATCCTCATCAGAGACAAATAAGTGGACAGGACTGTGATTTAGGGGTGGGGGTGGGGGAACTCAGGCCCAGGGTAACCATTCCCCCCACCCCCCACCCCCACCCCTCTGGGCCTCACATGCCTACTGGAGTAAGGAGGAGAGGGGGGAGAAGGACGGTCATGCCCCACTTAGCCTAGTTTCTCCACGGAAATGAGGTGTGGTGGCATGTGGCCATGGAAACCAGCTAGGCCAGGCCCACCCTGGGCTCAGATACCTCAAGAACGGAGCTGATCTGTCGAGGAGCAGCGCCTGGAGGGGGCTGTTAGGGAGTGCTTTTCTGGTTTTCAGTAGTATTGGGGGGGGGGGTGCGCTGGGTGGGGGCTGACTCCTGGACTAGAGCTTTTCTGTCCACCTCTTCCGCCAATCTTTTACCGCTTGATGGCCCTGCTCTGGCCTCAGGAGCGGATCTTCTTCACTCACTCCCTTAGCCCCTACAAGAAGCCTTCCCTGGCTGGGTCCGGCTCGGACTGCTGTTTCCCACGGCTCTCTCGGGGACTACCGCCCTCCTCACTCCGGACGGTTCTGGTTCGGACTGAAAGCCTGGCCTCTGCCGGGTGGGCGGTGCGGAGGGCGAGGGCGGAAGCGCGGCCCGGGGTGGGGGCGGGGTGGGGGGGGGGCCGGGTGCGCAGAGAAAGGTGGCCCGCGGCCAGCCCCGCCCCTACCTGTGTAAGCCGCTGGGCCGGCGCCTAGCGGATAAAAGCGGCCAGGTTTGCCCGAAGGTCAGCGAGTTCGGCTCCCTCTCGCCCACTGCTAAGTCCAGCCCGGTGCCGCCAGCATGTCCACCCGCTTCAGCTCCCAGGTCTTCAGCTCGCGCTCCGCCACCTTCCCGGGGCGCGGGGCGCAGGTGCGCCTGAGCTCGGCGCACACCGGCGGCTCTCGCAGCAGCAGCCTCTACGGCCTGGGAGCCCCGCGGCCGCGCGCGGCCATGCACTCCGCCTACGGGGGGCCCGTGGGCGCCGGCATCCACCAGGTCACCATCAATCAGAGCCTGCTGGCCCCGATGCAGGTGGACATTGACCCCTCCATCCAGCAGGTGCGCCAGGAGGAGCGTGAGCAGATCAAGATCCTCAACAACAAGTTCGCGTCCTTCATCGACAAGGTGAGCCGCTGTAACCTGCGGAGTACGCCACGCTCCAGGCCGCCGCGGCCACTCAGCCCTGACTGCGTGTGGGTTGGTGCTGGGACAACTAGCCTTCCTTTCCCCCAATATCGGGAGCCCCAGGCCGGGGACAAGGGTGGCTCTCTTTCTGGGCCCCTTTCTCTGCGAGGGGGCTGTGTGGAGTCAGAAGTGGGGTAGGGGTGAAATGCCGTTCCCAGCTGGGGAGCCCCCCCTTAGCCCCACTACCCTAAGGCAGATGCTGAAAATAAAGGGATAAAGGGCTGGAGGGAGGTAGGGAGGCTCCCGCTACACCCACCACGCCCACCACGCCCTACCTGGTCCTCTAGCTTCCCTTTGGTGGTAGGAAGTGAGTGAGGCTGGAACTGCCTTTGGAGACAGCCCATTTGGGGACAGGGAGGGGGAAGGGACATTTGGGAGGTGTTTTTCCAGAGGGGTGGGGCTGGGGTGGGAAGTGAGAGTGGGGGATGGAAGGGAGGGGGGCAGGCTTGACTGGTGGGTCTAGATGCCCGGCAAAGTGGGGCTGGACCCAAGAACTAAGGGCTAAGCCAGCTGGGCCCACTGGCCAGGGTCTCCTCCCTCAGGGGTAGACCAGGCCTTCCCTCTCCTACCTCCCCACCTCCCCAGCCTCCAGTGCCCTCTTCTCCTTCACCATGCAGACCGTGCATGTCCTTCAGGCCCAGGTTCCTTCCCTGCTGTTGAGCTGCTCTGTCTCACTGTCCACAACTCCCAGGTCCTGCTGCCCCAAGTTGCTGGTTCTGAGAAGGCTTGCTTTCCACTCCCAGTCATACTGGGTGCTCCTTAGGGCCCTTTTGGGCCCCAGGGCTGAGCACATAATAGGTGCTCATTTTACATTGACGGCTGTAGCACTCTGTCCTGAGGCCTTGTTGGAGAAAAGGGGAAGGGGAGAGAGGATACTCAGGGAGGACAGGCAGGTCCCAGCCTGAAGGGAGGAGGCCATGGGGCCCAGGACACTGATAGGAAGGAGAACCCCTTCAGAGAGGGAGGTGGAGAGTACCCATAATTCAGTGGGGTGCACAGGAGGGAGGAGACCTTAACTTTAGCACAGTGACCAGACACCCTGGTGAACCAGGTACACTTGACCCCTGGGTCACAGTCTAAGACACTCGAGACTGAGAGTCCTGGAGAAGAGGCTTGTTCAGGGTTATTTTCCCAGAGGAGAGAGCCAAGGGCTGGGGGCCCAGGCTGGGGGAACAGCCAGTGGGAGTCTGGGTTCTGCTGGGTGGCTGGGGACCCTCCCAGTCCCACTGTGGGCAGCACGGTCTGCCCCTCATCAGTTTCCTCCTCCATTTCCATTCCAGGTGCGGTTTCTGGAGCAGCAGAACAAGCTGTTGGAGACCAAGTGGGCTCTACTGCAGGAGCAGAAGTCGGTCAAGAGCAGCTGCGTCCCAGGCATCTTTGAAGCCTATATTGCTGGCCTGCGGAAGCAGCTCGAGGCCCTGCAGATGGATGGGAGTCGCCTGGAGATGGAGCTTCGGAGCACACAGGACGTGGTGGAAGACTTCAAGAATAAGTATTGGCTCCCAGTGTGAACTGTGGGGGTGTGAGGGTTCGGATGTGCACCCAATCAGCTGGCCCTCTGCAAGTCCCCTCTGGGTTAGGGGTCAGAGGGTGAAGCTGCACAGTACAATAACCCTGAATGGTCTTGACTAACGCATTCCCTGCCTAGCCTCGTCCTTCTTTGTCCCTGAGGGCTGTTTTCAAGTCCTTCTGGTCTTTTTATCCTGAATTACTCCCAGGAAAATATCTCTGCCCAGCCCTGTCCTGCCCTGCCCTTTCCTTCTGGGTGCCTGACCAAGACCCCAAGAGAGGGTAGGGCAGAAGGTATGACAGATGTGCTTCAAATTTGCACAACCATCATTTCGTTCAGGTGAGGAATTAGAGACAAGAGACTTCAGGGACTCGATCAAGATCATATAGCAGATCACTGGAGAGCTGGGACTTGAATTTTGGGCCTCTGGTTCCCTGGAGGAGACATGGAACCAACTTGGTCTGGAAAGAAGCAAGGAGAGAGAATCATCATTGTGAGCCAGGAGAGAGGTTGCAGAGGCTGAGGGGTGGGTGTGATCAGGGCAGGAACCAGAAAGGGGGCTGTGAGAACGGGCGGGGAGTCCAGGGTCCAGGAAAGCTGGGGATTTAGGGACTGGCCTTTGAGGTGTCCACTAAGTTTTCCCATTGAATAGAAGCCAAAGCTTGAGGCTTGGGCTGCCCCACCCTGGCATGACTGCACAGTGGGCATTGGGGTAGTGAGTGAGCTCTGTGCCTGCCTGGAGGTGCATGACAAAGCCAGAGCAGGGACACTGGCACTGACTGGAAGTAGAACAAACAAAGGCCTCTGAGGAGAGTGCTCACCCCCTATTTCCCTAGGACAACAGTCAACAGGATAAACCCCACAGCAGGTGGAACAGGCAGGTGCAAGGCAGGGAAGGCCTGGGGGCAACCAGCGAGCCCCTTTTGTCTTATTTTTACTGAGCCCCTTTGTTATGTGCATTTGAATTTGTGGGCACACATACTTGCCCTCACCCCAAAGCCCACCGAGCTTTCCTGTGGAGTCAGGCTGGGGCTGAAGGAGGCACAGGGAAGGCCCTGAGTGCAGCTGCCCAGAAGCTCCCATCTGCACACTCTCGGGCCCAGCAGCGCTTCGCTTTGCCCAGGCAGGGGTGGGCAGAGAGCCTCAGGGATGTTTCCATAACTACTCATAGGGCCTGAGGGAGCGGGAGCATGAGAGTTTGGTTCCTGGAGGCTGCCTGCCTGCCCAAACATCCTGCTCCCCACCACAGTTGTTCCTGTTTCTGTCCCTTTTTATTTACGTTTCCCAATAAATACTCGGGTAAGCCCACCTGCTCTCTTGCTCTGCGCCCTGCTTTGCTCATGTCCTCCTATGGGTGGGGCTGGCTCTTTGGGACAAAGAGGGATGGGAGGGCAGAGGGGGACTAGGCCACCTAGTTGGGGCCTGGTTATCCCAGGAATGTATGCAGCCCCTTTCTGATTCCCCAAGGTTCCTCCCTTTCAGGCCCCTCCACAGGGGGTAGGGTCAGGTAGTGGTTAAGGCATGGGCCTGGAGTCAGACTGCCAGGTTTCAAATCTGGGCTTTGCCACTTGACAGCTTAGTGACTGGACAGATCACTCTGCCTGTCTGTGCCTCTGTTCCCTGCCCTGCTAATCTCGTACCATTGTTGTAAGATTGGTGTGGGGATTGCCCAGCTGGGTGGGCTAAATAGGTTGAGCATTGTCCCGTACACCAACAAGGTGGTGCTTGGGTCCCTGTCAGGGCACAAATCTAGGTTGCGGGTTTGATCTTCAGCCCATGGGATGTTATGTTTTCTCTTCCCTTCCCTTCCC